ACGTAGAATTGTTGTCTATCCCAATGTACACCTGTTCTCCAAAGATGGCCCTTTGAACGCCTATAAGGATTTAGGTTCACTTATACCTCAAGTTGAACACCATTAACCTAAAGATGACTCATAAATGTCCGGTTCCCTCTACATGCTTACGGCCATTACTGAATTTGTATACCAAGCTCGAGCTGTGGCTCTAGATACCTCGAAGTCATTTCAGAGGATTTGGCATGCCGGCCTTCTACGTAAGCTTCAGGGCTACGGCATTTCAGGACGTTTATTTGATTTCATACAATCATTCCTGTCAAACCGTGAAATGAAGGTTGTCCTAAAGGGGGTTCTCCTTCAGTTGCTTTCATAAAAACGCTAGTTTTCCCCAAGGCTCTATCCTGAGTCCTATACTGTTTCTGATCTTCATTAACAATCTCCCTCAAGTCGTCATCTACGCAGACGACACTACAATATATATGACGATATATTTTTAACCCTACAACCTTAGGTTAAACTTTGCAATGCCGTCGGTTCCACGTGCCATGTTTGATGGATGTCAGTTATCAGTTATCTCCTGCTAATTTTCCCTCTGAAAGTTCTCCACTGCCTTAACCAGGTATTGAACTCACCTTCTTTTGGGTCTGTCACTGGATCTAACCAACGCTTTTATCCACTGTGCCATGTGACCATGAGGACATCTGCGTATGAACTTCTGGAACTAGAGCAGTCTACACCAGTGATCGAAATAAAGGGTTCAGTTCGAAATTCCAACCACCTGAAGAAGGCCGGAGCGTACAACGGCCGAAATGTTGTGACAAATATGGCGACAAAGATGAGGACAATAGTCCGACTAATGTAAATACTATATATATATATATATATATATATATATATATATATATATATATATATCGTGGACTCTCCCGGCGTGTTTGACGTATGAGGGTCAAGCAGCTCAATTCATAGGAACCAACAGCCAGAGAACAATTCATATTATTCGATTATAGTAATGAAGGCTTTGTGCAGAACGAACCACACTTTTTTTGAAGGACCCAATATAAAGACCTGGTGTCCTAATAGCCTCTAGATCTCCATTTACTCCGCATATATATATATATATATATATATATATATATATATATATATATATATTGAATTCAGAGACGTCCTCCTCGACCAGTTGCCATCCAAGGTTATAGAGTCTGTCCTGCTATTGAGCCATACCTTTAGGGGAGAAGAGGAGGATTAATAACTTAGCACGTAAATGAATGTAATGGATTCCACTGAATTGAACTCGGCTCTCCGAATCCTAAACTTATATATATAAGGATTTAGGAATCGGATATATATATATATATATATATATATATATATATATATATATATATATATTGTCATCGGTCCTTATCTATAACTACAGAATGAACCATTCCTAACACTATCTATACTACGCCTCTCAAGAGAGAGGAGCGAATCATGCCGAGCTTCTTGGCTTGACGGTCGAACTCTCTGCCTCTGGGCAGAGAGGAACTCTGACTCCGAAGGGCAGAGTCTCGTTTGGGGAGGTTAACCAACGAGATCCCATTTTTACGGGTTCTACGGGCATTTTTTGGCCGAGCCTACGGATCGGGAAACACACGTTAAACTCGGCCTTGTGCCACATGCAACGCTCCTGGGAGGGTGGCTAGATACCGAATCAAGCCGAGCTTCTCGGCTTGACGGTCGAACTCTCTGCCTCTGAGCAGAGAGGAACCTGGACGAGGCTCCGCCGAAGGGCAGAGTCTCGTTCGGAGAGGTTGACCAACCCGATTCTGTTTTTACAGTTTCTACGGACATATTTTGGCCGAGCCTACGGGCTCGGAAAACCCACATAAAACTCGGCCTTGTGCCACATCTTTCCCTCGTGGCGGGGGGGGGGGGCAAGTAAATATCGAATCGAGTCGAGCCGATAGTAGTTCACTCCAAACCAGACTAACACCTTCCACACCTTGTATTATTATTTCGTGTAATATACCTTCATTATTTCTACTATTTCGTAGTTGCTCTTCCTTGTTCTAACCTGGACCATAACATATATATATATATATATATATATATATATAGAGAGAGAGAGAGAGAGAAAGAGAGAGAGAGACTTTCTTAAAAGTATCTTATAAAACCGTCAATCATTGTTGGGTTTCGGTCAGAGTGTAAAACTGTCGACGTCTAATTTCAGCTCTTCCCAGCTTTGATGGCCGAGTTATTTGTATATCTGAAGAGCCAACATTAAAAACTAATTTATATTTCGGCTTAAAATACTGCATGTTACGACTGCCGATTTAAATGCGCGAGGCGAGACCCACGGTTTTAGAACGATACAGGTTTATATGATTTTGAGCGTGCAATACAAGCCAAGCGTCATTTCAGGACCCAACGTTGGACAACCGGGGTGGAGACACTCACAAGCGCACACATGATTTCACACCAATAAGGCGAGTCGCAAATAGAAGCATACGACATGCCCTTCTGCCCTCCTTCGAAGCTGAGACGAAACAGCGTGAAAGCCATCCGTCATTTCAGATGTAATTCACCAACGTTTGTAACGAGTATTGACAACGCCACTTGTCGGTTTGGATTCCGACTAATACGTGCACGAGCAACAATAAAGCAAGGCACCATTGGCATTGCATTACGAACAGAGAAAGAATGTCAGGAAAGAAGAAGAAGAAGAAGAAGAAGAAGAAGAAGAAGAAGAAGAAGAAGAAGAAGAAGAAATAAGTGAAAGAAGGATGGACGGAAAATATAAAGATAATACAGGAAAGAAAGAAAGAAAGAAAGAAAGAAAGAAAAATATGAAAAAAGAAAGAAAGATATGAAAAAAGAAAGAAAGAAAGAAAGAAAGATATGAAAGAAAGAAAAAAGATATGAAAGAAAGAAAGATATGAAAAGAAACTAGACTGCATTATATAGATGGATATAAAAATGATAGAAAGAAAGAAAACACAGATAGATAGATAGATAGATAGATAGATAGATAGATAGATAGATAGATAGATAGATAGAAAAAAAGAAGGAAAGAAAGAGAGAATGAATGAAGGGAAGAAAGAAGGAAGATAATTTAAAGACAGAAAGTGCGAAAGAAAAAGAAATAAGGAAATTTAAATAAAGAAAAACACAGGAAATGGGAAAAGATAGAATGAATGAATGAATGATCGAAGGAAGGAAGCAATGAATGAAGGAAGGAAAAGGAAATGGAAAAATATAGAGAGAACGCAAAAAAAGAAATAAGAAAAAATTGAATAAAGAAAAAACAAGAAATTAGCAAAAAGAAAAATAGATAGATAGATAGATAGATAGGTTGAGATAGATAGATAGATAGATAGATAATGAACAAACATAGATAGATAGATAGATAGATAGATAGATAGATAGATAGATAGATGACATAGGAAAACAGAATGGGGTAGATAGATAGATAGATAGATAGATAGATAGATAGATAGAAAAGGAACTAATTCAGATAGATAAGGAAATATGAAAAATAAAGCGGGAAAGAAAATAAGAGAAAAGAAAATGAAATAGAAATGATTAAAGAAGGGAGAACAAGGAAAATAGTGTAAAATTAAAGAGAGAAAGAATGAAAGTTATGAGACAAATACAGAAAGAAAGAAAAGAATGAAATAGGGATGAGAAAGAAGGAAAGAAACAAAGGAAAAAGAAAGTGAAAATGAAAGAAAGAAAGAAAGAAGGAAAATTAAGAGACAAATAATGAAAGAAAGAAAGAAAGAAGAAAAATTAAGAGACAAATAAAGAAAGAAAGAAAGAAGGAAAATTAAGAGACAAATAATGAAAGAAAGAAAGAAAGAAATAAAGAAAGAAAGAAAGTAAGAAAAGTAAGAGACAAATAATGAAAGAAAGAAAGAAGGAAAATTAAGAGACAAATAATGAAAGAAAGAAAGAAAGAAGGAAAATTAAGAGACAAATAATGAAAGAAAGAAAGAAAGAAGGAAAATTAAGAGACAAATAATGAAAGAAAGAAAGAAAGAAGGAAAATTAAGAGACAAATAATGAAAGAAAGAAAGAAAAGAAAGGAAAATTAAGAGACAAATAATGAAAGAAAGAAAGAAAGAAGGAAAGAAATAAAGAATGAGAATTAAGAGACAAATGATGAAAGAAAGAAAGAAGGAAAATTAAAAGAGATAATGAAAGAAAGAAAGAAAGACAGAAGGAAAATTAAAAGAGATAATGAAAGAAAGAAAGAAAGAAAGAAAGAAAGAAGGAAAATTAAGAGACAAATAATGAAAGAAAGAAAGAAAGAAAGTAAGAAAAGTAAGAGACAAATAATGAAAGAAAAAAAGAAGGAAAATTAAGAGACAAATAATGAAAGAAAGAAAGAAAGAAAATTAAGAGACAAATAATGAAAGAAAGAAAGAAAGAAAGAAATAAAGAATGAAATTTAAGAGACAATTAATGAAAGAAAGAAGGAAAATTAAGAGACAAATAATGAAAGAAAGAAAGAAAAAAAGAAAGAAAGAAGGAAAATTAAAAGACAAATAATGAAAGAAAGAAAGAAGGAAAATTAAAAGAGATAATGAAAGAAAGAAAGAAAGACAGAAGGAAAATTAAAAGAGATAATGAAAGAAAGAAAGAAAGAAAGAAAGAAAGAAGGAAAATTAAGAGACAAATATTAAAAGAAAGAAAGAAAGAAGGAAAATTAAAAGTCAAATAATGAAAGAAATAAGGAAATAGGGAAAAAGACAAATCCGAAAAAAAAAACAGAAATAGAAACAAATAGATTGAATATTCTGAAAAGAATAAAAATTGAAAAATGAAAAAAAAATGAACTAAAAAAGAAGCAAATAAAGAAAGAAATAGGGAAAAGAAAAAAAGAGGAATATAGAAAGAGAAAGAATATCACGAAAAAAGAAGAATGTAAGAAAGAAACAAAAGCCAAGTAAAGAAAGAGAAAGAAAAAAAGAAGAAAATTCCAGAAAGACAGAGAGAAACAAAAATGTGAAGTAGAGAAGAAAGAAAAGATGATAGACACTGAATAAAATAAAAAGACATCTTTTACAACATTATGCTTAGTCTCACATGAAGTCACATTAATTCAGTGGGAATCGAACTCACTAATAACCGATG